CCCCCCCCAAACCTTAGCCAAACTCCCCCCTCCCCCCCAACCCAAAGAACCCCAGCATCCAGGGGCACTGGGAGCAGGGGCAGCCGTTTGAACGGAACAGGGGGGGGGTGTAGGAGTCCAGCCCCCAGGGTTCTAAATGCCTCAGTTTACCCAGAGCAATTGCCCCCCTGCCCCTTAGGGGAGGAGCATGGGGGGAAAGACAGGTCAGGGTACCCAGGAAGCCCCCCACCCCCCCATTCAGCAACACACTGTGCGCCCAGCCTGGTGTCGGACCCTTTATTGAAGCCGAAGCTCACACTGCTACAGACCCAGCGCCAGTCACAGAACCGGCCCTGGCGCGGGGGCTGGGGGGGGGGGGGGTCACAGCAGCTGGGCCCCCCGGCAACACAGGGCTTACAAGCAAAAGGAACAGCTGGGGGGGAATGGCGACTCCCCACAATCCCTGGGATTCAATGGGAAATCCAGGGGTCCCCCAGCCCAGGAAAGGCAGAAAGAGCAGGTCACACAGAGGGGAAACTGAGGCACAAGGGCTCCAACCCCCTGCTTGGAATGGGCCCAGCCTAGTGATGAGGGTGAGCGCAGCAGCCCCACCCCCACCTCCTGGGAGCACAGGGGGAAGGTGAGAGCCCCATTGGGGAGGGGAGCCCCCCCCCCACTGAATACTGTAGGCTCCACCCACTGCAGAGCAGGGGGCGTGGTCCAAGAGAGGCCCCACCCACTGAAAGCAACAGAGGCAGACGGGGTGGAGGGGAAGAGCCGTCACTCCTCCTTCTTGTCCTTTGGGCCCTCCTGCAGCATCTGGGGACAGACGGACACGGGGTCAGGGGGGAGACGAACAGACAGCCCCCCGTTCTCCCCCAGCCACCCCCCTGCCTCTGTCCGTGACCCTCGCTCCCCACATGCAGCCCCCCCAGCCAGGGGCCCCTCACTCCTGACCCACAGCCCTCCCGGCCCCCCAGTAACCTCCCCCCCTCGCTGCTAGTTAAAAATGCCCCAGCGGCGGCTGGGCCCCACGGAGCCGAGCCGAGCCCCACCCCCGGGCTCACCGAGCCGCACCCCGGCAATGGGGACAGGGCTGGGCAACCGCGCCTGGCTGGGAGCCGGCCCCACGCACCTGTCTGCACGTAACCATCACGAGGCACCGGGCACGGAGCCCACAGCCGGGCTGGGCCAAGGGAGGGGCAGGAGCCGGAGCCAGGCCACCCCCTCCCCCCAGCCCTGCCGGTGCCCCTCACTCCCGACCCGCAGCCCCCTCCCCCCAGCCCTGC